GATAGTGATTTGGTCACCTAGGCCACATTGTTTCCGGGTACCAATTTGTCATCACCATTTACGTCGCAGACGGCTGAAGGGTTTCTTTTTTCACTGGATGACACAGCGCAGAGGTATACGTAATGAAACAAAACAGGAATTTTGAACATCTCTGTCGCACTTAGCACAGTGGGAACTGCTGTTGTGCTCTCAGTTGGGGGTTCAGTTCCACAACTGAGACAATTATTTCGTTCATTTGTTTCAATGGCAATTAGTATTGATGCATGCCAGAAGGTTGCCATCAACTTGTTTCTAAGCAATCCTCAAAAGAAATTGCCATCGATAGCTTTCTGGTGGGTGGTTGTTGTTGCTGGCATGTGCTGCTACTCAAACTGCTCTCGAGTGCCTCCATTTTTTCGTAGAGAGTAAATACGAAAAGGATTTAGTTTTTAACTTTAAGATAGAAAATATTAAAGTTAAAAAAAAATGTGTGATTTACTGCCTGAAAAGTGAGAAGAAGAATGCATGGTTTCCTACTTGCTGATCACTTTTCTGGACAGATGTTTTGTGATAATTTAAAGTATTACAAGGCATTGCAGAGAAGTGGGGTGAATTTGCCGTATCATCTATAAAGCTAACAATCGAGCCAAGCAAGCCGGATGTTGTGACGTTGTCGCGTACCAGTGGCCGCCGATTGTACGATGAAATTCAGGTCAACGGTAAATAGCTGACCTTATTTTTGTTCCCCTTTTTTAAAAGCATTCATAATTTCGTCAGTTATTCATGGCATTTTGTCAGTTCATGGAGGTGTTCGTTCATTCCACTCAGAGTCGTCACGTTCGTGCTGGTGTGCCTCATTTACCTCATCCATTTTTTATTTTTTGCACTTCTGTTAATATTTTTCATTCATGCCATAAGTTCAAAACTGTGCTTTTAAAAAAGAAATATTTCTGTTCAGTTTAAATGGTAACAGCACTAACAACTTCTCATTGTGAAGCCCATCAATGACTTCTCCCTGCTGCAGCTGCAGTAGAGTAAAATCAAAGTAGCTTGAATCCCCTCTCTGCTTTCTTTGTCATAGAAACGACTAAAAAAATTTTTAGAAGTCTTTTTCGACTGATGAGGATGCCATTGCACCTCCCCGCGATTTTGGTTAAACAGTGCTATTTGTTTGACTGCTGAGCAGGAAAGGCATGCGGTTTGGATACTGATAACTCCTATTATCAGTCCCAGCAGTTAAAGTCATCGCCTGAAAATGCAAACTTATCTTTAACAAAAGCAAATGGAATGTTATCTTTAAGAAAGAAAGCATGTGATGGGACAAGACAACACTGAAGCTTTTTTGTGGTTGCTCACAAAATACGCTTCTTGGTGAGTAAGTATACCATGAGTAAAGTCAGTCGCATCGTGCTAATTTTCTTCACACTTTTGATGGTTTTTTGGAAGCAGAAAATTTGCGTTAAAGCGATCCTTTTTTTTGAAGCGGGACAACTGGAACTTGTAAATAGCGGTTTTAGAAATTTGATAACATTTTCTATATTATTTGGGCGCGAGGAGGAGAGAAGTATAAGATGCAGAGTATTTTAACACCTTAAATAATAAAATTCATTAAAACAAAAATCCTGTAAACAAAAAGTAAAATGCGATGGGGCACGGATCTTTTGGTTTAGCATCTTGCGTCAGTAATGTTTTTTACACAGCTCTTTCGATGTGTTCAGAGATAAACAGAAGGTGTTTGAGGATTACCAAAAGGTACTTAAGTATTGGTTAACGGCAATGGCACGAGGGTAAGTAGCGTTCGCTTTCACTGCAGAAGATCGGAATAGTACTGACTAATCCCTTCACGTCTCGTTCCGTCATTTTGATGGTAGATTGGTGTTAGCATATGCTGGAGAGGCGGAACTTCCATTAAGAGGAAGCCATCGACAGACTTGTCGCTGTTAGCATTTATTACCATTCGAGCTGCTTTCGAATGCTTTCACGTCTCGTAGAAA